ATAGCTCCTGAATATAGAGAAAATGCTTCCCTCCTTTTTAGTCTTTGTAGCTTGTTCATTTCCATAAGACAGACTGAATTTCAATACCGTCCCTTAAAGAAAGCAAGTTACATCTGATCTCTTATAATCTAGAAACATGCTATACAATCCTAGTTTTAAATATATAAGAAAACTTATGTCTACATAAACATTAATGAACTCCTACATGGAGCTTAGATTATGGATCTTTGTAATTCAAGCGATATGATTAAAAGACAATAAACCAAAAGCTGTCCATTACATCCATGTGGCTGGGATTGCAGCACGACTGGCACTGTGTGTCAGATAATTCTTTGTAGTGGCTTTCCTGTGCTTTGTAAGATGTTTGGCAGCAACCCTGGCCTCCATCCATGAGATGTCTTTCACACACACCCTAGTTATAGCACCCAAAAGTATCTCTGGGCATTGCCAAATGTACCCTGGGAGCCAAAATCTTCCCTTGTTGAGAAGCGCTGATGAGGCTCCAATTTGCCAAAATGAGTCATTTTATCTCTTTATCTATCAATAGAAATATGAGCTTTGCATGCACACTGGTATTTTGGGTTTTAATATGTATTAAACCATCTCTTATAATGAAAAGAACTTGCTATGCCAATGGCAAAGGAGAAAAAGCTACATGACAAGCAAAACTATATTACAAAGCTTCATACATATTATGTAATAGGCAACATAAGGAACAATAAAAACACATTTTTATTCAGCAATGATAAAAATACAAGCTAATAGATGTGTGCAGTGACCCTAATTTAGGAATGTTATGTTTCATTTTTGTATAACTTCATATCTGAAGCAGCAGAGTTTAGAGCTGAAGCTATCCAAAAATTTGACTCTAATCTAGTTATCTACTCAGGAAAAAAATATTTATCACACTATATATTATGATACAATATCACTACACTTAATAACCTCATAATTCAGTACCACAGTTTAAAAAGAAAGAATGTTAGCAGGCTACCAGAATTAAATAGTATTAAAATGTTGAATATATGTGTTTCTTTGAAAATTAATTGACATCTTTCCATTGCAGTCCAAAAAAGAAATGATAAAAAACTGGTGATGTCTGGACCTACCATCACTTCAAACTATGTTAATACCACAGACTACAGGGTCTCCTATAACCTTGACATTAACTTGGTAATATGAATGATAATTATTTGGGAGGAAAGTAAAGCTAAAATATATGTTGGGGATTTGTAACTACTTGTTGATTGAATTAGTATTTGTGTACACTTACTGGAAAGAACTTCAAATTTAAGCACACAAACACTATTCTTTTTTTGTACATACACGATACTTTCATTGAAAAAAATTTATGCTGCATTTTCCTTTATATTCCATTTTAAATGTAGACAGCTGAACTGAATAAATTAAAAATGTAATTGAATGACCAAAGGATAAAAACATCCTTTTCTGACTCAGAATAGTTCAATCTGTCATTACAATAAGAAAAATGAATTCACACTTAAAAAACCAAGCTAATAGAATAGAAATTTGTCTTCCTGTTTAATGCTGCCCTCTCTCCTCCAGTCCACTAGCCAGAAGACATTTCAAGTGGAATTCCTCTGAAAGCTATAGATTCAATAGGTTAATGGGTAGTTACTGCTCTTGTTGCTGGGCTGATTCTATTCAGTCTGTATCTAAAAAAATGTTGTTGTTGTTTCTGCATAATTTCCTGACATTAAAGAAAAAAAAAGTCAAGTGCCATGGTAACTAGAGGACAAGAGTGAGTTGGGCCCATCCATTTCTGTACTAATTTCCTACGTATTGCTTTCCCCTGTAGAGATTTTACATCAAACAGAAACACTCCTCTCTATTTCCAATGAAATAATGCGCAATCAATTCTGAAATTTGTGCTAAGCCAAATGAACTTATTACTGTAACGAAACAATTTAACACACTTTGGTCAATATATTAGCTGTACAAATGCAAATATGCTACAGCAACATCACAATGGAAGGAAACCTGACTGGCCTATAGCTAATAAATAATAAGATGTAAAGATGTGAGAGCACTGGGGTAGTGGAAGAAAAATCCAATGCCTTTACTATTCCCCAGAAATGGCATTCTCTCCACTCTTTTGTACATATGGTATAAATCCCCTAAACACAAAGAAATCTTACAAGTAAAAATTAATGAACAACAAATTAAAGAGAAGATACTGTAATAAAGTTAGGCTATTCTAACTGAAAAATAATTACAATGAAGCTATTTACGTGTATACTCACATAGAATTATAAACATTTTTCGAGGGATATTTTGCAATACAGTATTTTAAGATAATGTTTTCTTCTTACTCTTGAAACAAACACAGTAGGTTTACTTTACCCTTTCTTTTTTAAAAAAATATACTTACTAGAGAAAGCTTTATTTTCTCAGAGAAAGAGCTTTGTGATTTCAAGTAGCATGCTGAATTTTCTTCAAAGACATTTGTATGCCTTATCTTTCAACTAAGAGGATTAGTTTTCAACAATACTATGTAATTGAAAATTATGTTTAAAATTGTGTTGAAATGGTAGTATTATTTAATTCTGGGAACTTAACCAGTCAGATATCAGAGATGCATGGTTCTTTGTAAAGAACTGGAAAAATACCAAGTGTGTAAATGTGCTCAATAATTTTCTACTGTTCTCATCCCCCTACCTTAAAGTTACATTCAAATTTCACAGAACGAAAGCAATACGCTTAATTCTTATCCTGAAAAAGAGATTTTTTTTTAAATTTAAAAAATTACCTTTCTAGTTTTAGATATTTAATCCAGCAAGACCTTCTACTCTGAGACAACTTTAGGCGTTCACTAGGAAAAAATCCCCTCTGTAGCTGTTGGCTCAGGCTCGACAAACTTGCTGAACTGTGCAGATGTTGAGGCAGCTCTCAGTCACACCAGGGAAGAAAGAAGAACTAGACATTCCACAGCTGCCTACAACAGCTTCCTTCCCAGGGGCACGGTTGCAGGCTCTATCAAGCTCAATCACTTCGTACATCCCAGGCAGGGGCAAAAAAATCCCAGAGCAGCTTCAATTTCTCCCAGAACCACAGTAAGAAGTAACACTACTTAAAGAGTAACCAGTTATTTCCAACAATTATGTGGCTACAGGCCAAAAAAAAAAAAAAAAAAAAGAGAACATCTGTAGTAGGAGAAAATAAAAGATGTTTCATACTTTGAAAATTTCAAGCTACTTTTAAGAGATCTTCCTTTGGTCTTTGTTACAAAAATAACTACAAATATTTGATTTTCATTCCTGATAATTATTTTTCCTTTGGGGGTGTGGAGAGAGAATAGTCAAGTGCAAAGCTAAACAGTTAACTCAACAATTATAATGTAACACATTCGCTGCAGGTTTAAAAGAGATGAATGTAATAATGTAAAAGGTGGCAGTAATATCATGTTAAAAGCTATCCTATCTTCCAGTTTATATCAGTTTATATCAGTACATATTCTCACAAGTTCTTTTAAATAATTAATACTTAGTTGTATTAATAAAATGGTGTGACTAAAAACAAGCAGCTAGAAAATATCCTTCCCTACTTGAGGATAATTGATGCCATAGCAGATGCCATTTCCTTAGGATAAAACAGAAACATACAGCTATACTAAATAGAAATACACAGAGCACTGTTCCCTTATTCTTTATACTAATCATCTTCTGCTGGGTAGTAAAAGACAATATGTAGATGTATAGGAGTAGATAGTTATTATAACATCTTAAAGTTATAACAGTATACTAATTAATTCTTACTTGGTCAAAAAAATCATTGTACCTTCACATAAGCACTTGTAAGAATTCACCAGATAGGGTAAGGAAAGCAGTGATTATGATGATGTTATAAATTTACTGTGAGCTTAGTATGATTCAAGCACTGTGCTGAGAGCTTTCAATACGTTACCTCATTTACCCCTCTCAATGGTGTTATCTCCATTTTATAGATGAAGAAATTAACTTATAAGGTCATGAGCTAGTAAACATGTTGTACAGTCTGAATTTAATATTTTTTACTCTAAAGTCCATGCTGTAGTTATTATGCTTTACTGTGTTGAAAACTACATTTGTATGTTAATTTGGAACATTTTAAGTATTTTTAAAATCGATTTTAAGGCTTATACTGTCATTAAATTCTTCTATTCAGAGAAAAATAGCCTCTCCACATGAGATGTTAGTTAATCTCGCTTAAATTGTTTATGTTCCCTTTTTCTTCGCAAACTACTGATTTTTTTATTCGCCAAAGAAAGGCTCGTTTTTAACCTAGAGTATTGGTAATGCAATATTTCCCCGAATGTTAAAAAATTTCAAATGCCAATCTTTCTATTTTAAGTTGGTCTTCCAAACTACAAGTTAATATGCAACCGAAGCTGAGGCATGTAAACACTAAAATAGGCCTGAATTTTTAGAATAAAAAAACCTATTTGATTTCATATTCATTGCAAAATAGCAACAGGAACACTTTACGCCTCGGAGGCCTTTGTTTGTAGCTCAGGACAACGTGATACATGACAGCAAAGAGAAATACATGAGGCAGAAGTTGATGACATATGGGGTGTGCGCAGAACTTCTGGTTAATGGAAGTTCCAAGATGTGTAAATACAAAGTGATGTGTGAGTTGGTGGAAAAAAACTATAAGGCAAGTCAATTTTTTTAATTAAAAAATTATGTAGCATAAACAATGCTAATGAGCCAAAAGTCCCAAGAGATTAGGATTGTATCTGCTTCATCTTTATGTCCCATTCACTTTCCGTAAGTGCACTTCCACTTGCTTGAAACATCTGAAGCAGAATTCTTTTTGTAAAAGAGTTTTGGAGATTTTCTTTATCCTTGTTCTTAATAGCTCACCATTTTCCACTAAAGTTGCCAACTTGATTACAAATGACATGCGCATGCACACACACACACACACACACACTCTCTCTCTTTCTCTCACAAAGAGCCCTAAAATTTTTAGAAGAAGAATCACTAGAGAATAAATACCTGGAAGCTCTTCATAAATTTCATCATCGATGGGTTGACTTCTTGTTGGTGCACTGCTTGCAGGGAGAGGGTGATCAACATCATCATATAACTCTCCCCTCTCATCATCATCCTCAGGAATAATATCAGATTCCATGTCTACAAAATAGATTTCAGGAAGTACATTTTACAGGCATGCAAAAGAGATTTCTTGAAACTATACTCATAAATAAATGCAGCCCTACAAACAGTATTGTGATATGCTATCATCTTACTCAAAAACATTCCTGAAAAATTGGTTGTCTTGTGAACATGTGAATTTTAAAGGTACCAACTGGTACTTATAGAAAAGATACTTTTACAAATCTAAAGTGAATGTTCTAGTATTAATACAAGTCACATTTCCTTGGTCGTTCTCTTAGAAGTCAATAAGCTTTTGCATATGAAAACCCAAAGCACTCAGTTACTCAGTATTTAATGACTGTGGTAACTTGTCCAATCAATCGCTCTTACCTTGTAATACAAAGTTCAGCTGCTGTACCCATTCCTCGGCATCTTTGGGAGAAGCTGCTGTAAACTAATAAAAAACAAACAGTGAGAATGAAAATCACCGCAGTAGGAATGAAAGGTATGAGGTATCCTGCATTCTCACTATTTCTTTAAAACCATTAGTAATTCTTTTCATGTCTAGTGATACTTTTCTTGCAAGGATGCTTCTTATAATGTACAGTTAATTTTGACAAATTTACGTAATTGAAGCAGAGGATGATGAATTTGAAACTCCGATCAGCAGCTGGCAGCTGTGCAGTAAAAAAAGCTGCTTCTCTTCATCAATGTCAAAGACAGAACTGATGAACAAAATTTGCCCTTGACAATTAGAAGACACCCATGAATTTCTTTAGACTGCTGGGTACAGTTTTCTTAAAAATGTTCTTGTCAGATTCCAACACACTACCTGACAACTTAATTAACTGGCTTTCAACTGCAATCTCAGATATTTAAAACTTATTAAACATACATTCCATATTGATGCCTAGCTGATAGCTCCTGAATTGTAGAGGTGATACATGCCTTCACCTTCATTTTCTCCCACACCCCTAAGCAATATAATATGCATTAACACTCTAGGTATTTTTCTTTTGATAATCTCACTCTTTCTGCTATGTAATTTGTTTAGAAAATCACGCAGTTCTATTTAAATAGATATAAAATGCAACATGTGAACATGTGAAGTAATTGATAAATTACATATTCTCTTGATCCTTTACAAGACGATAACACTTGAACTAATCTGAAATTGTTTAAAAATATAATTCCTCTTATATAAATGCTCCATGTACAAAACCCAGTATTTTTTATTATTATTAACATGTCAGGGAGAATTGTTTTAAGGAATGTTAACGTCTCTATAAATGAAATCAGAACATTTTATCAACTTAATTTCAAGGCAACATAAAAACTACAACCTGATAGACACGTTTATCGGGAGCAGAGATTTCAAAGCAGCAATCTTTCTTCCCATCCTTCCTGAGGGTGTTATTCATTCTGACACTGTAGCCATCTATTGCAAATTCACCTTTCTGTTGTTTGTCTGTTGAAGATAAAACAAGAATTAGAATTTCATTTACTTCAGTGAATATAAATGTTCAGTCAATTTTCTTTTATTAAATGGTCTTTGGCAATTGTTGGAAAGAGTATTTTTTGGTCATACTGCTTTAGTAATAAAATGTTTAAATAATGTTTCTAATTTTAGAAAATTTAGAAATTGTTTTTAATTCTAAAGTATTAAAGTATTTGGGATGGTTGAGTTTAAAAAGAATATCTTAGGGAACCAGAGGAATAGTTCTGTAGATGGTCATCTTGTTTAGAAGAAATTATGGAAATATGACTATTATGTAGGGAAAACCCAAGAACCTAGAACTTAGAAGTTTCTATATAAACCCACTACAAGCCTTTGGCTCTTTCGGACTTAGGAAGCTAGTAGGAAAACCTGTCTAGTTAAAAACATGCAGGATATTATGTACTACTATCTCCTTTCATCAACCCCTCCCCACCACTTTCGTGACTGCCAAAAACACCTCTAAAACAAAACTTTTCTTAAAAAAAAAAATTCTGACGTGGTGCCTGTAGCTAAGTGGTTAAGGCACCGGCCACATAACCAGGGCTGGTGGGTTTGAACCTGGCCTGGGCCTGCTAAACAACAATGAAAACTACAAAAAAAAAATAGCCAGGTGTTGTGGCAGGCACCTATAGTTCCAGTTACTTGGGAGGCTGAGGCAAGAGAATCACTTAAGCCCAAGGGTTTGAGGTTGCTGTGAGCTGTGATGTCACATTACTCTAGTGGCATAGTAAAACTCTACCTCAAAAAAAAAATTCTGTTGCTGTGAGCTGTGACATCACATCACTCTAGTGGTGGTGCCACATCACTCTAATGGCATAGTAAAACTCTGCCTCGAAAAAAAAAATTCTCTTAACTTGGCACTAATCTAACTCTAAATTTAAAAAGCAAAGTAAAGCAAAACAAAATAAAACTACCAATTGCAAAAAACTTGTGAAAGGAAAACAAACTATTTTGATGAAGAAGAGAAAAGTATAAAGCAAGTATAGAAGCATTAATGACCACAAAAAAGGAGGCTTCTTAACTAGTCAGGAACAGCTGAACTGGTAGAGCACATCTGGTGAAGAGTCAAAAGAAAAGATGACTTAGCCTTTGGTCAGGTATTAAAGACAAAGAAGAATACAACAAAGGATTTAATACACTGAAACTGAAAATAAAATTAATTTTGCTACTTCATCCAGTTATACTATTTTGCTAGAAAAGCTGTATGGCTATAGGTTTCTTTTCTAGATTAACGCACAACAGAAAAATCATGAGCAAGGATAAGCTGTCTCTTTTATTGAGCTCAGGGCAATATAGAAATACTTCCACATTGGGGATAAAGGGCTCTCTCAACTCAGTGCACCAATATAATACAGCAGAACCTCCATAGTTGACCACCTCCCTACATCAACCACTTCTGTTAAGTTGATCAAATTTCCAAATTTTCTTTTTCTTTCTTTCTTTCTTTCTTTTTTTTTTTGAGACAGTCTTACTTTGTCGTCCTCAATAGAGTGCCATGGCATCACAGCTCTCAGCAACCTCAAACTCTTGGACTCAAGCGATCCTCTTGCCTCAACCTCCCAAGTAGCTGGGATTATAGGTGCCTACCACGATACCCAGCTATTTTTAGAGACAGGGTCTCACTCTTGCTCAGGCCAGTCTCAAACTCCTGAGCTCAAGCAATCCACCCATCTCAGCCTCCCAGAGTGCTAAGATTACAGGTGTGACCCACCAGGCCCAGCCTACCAAATTTTCAAAGACTGAACATGTACCACTTGTACCATGGTTCCAGCCTCTTTATGTTGACTACCTCCATATGTTGACCAGTTTGTTACAGTCCCTTGGGTGGCCAACCTACAGAAGTTCTACTGCATATATATCTTCTTTTCTTAAATACACTAATTAAATGCTTGAGTAACATGCATGTTTTAATATGCACACATATTTTATTCAAAATATCAAATGAGAAAAAAATCTGAATTAGAAATTCTTAACTTAATCCCATACAATCTAATCATATTTAGTGAAAATTTATATCTCTTCAGATGAATAAAAAGCAATTCAAATTCAAAATTTTGAAGCACTAGCAAAGTAGTGCTAAGGAAACTGAAGTAAACTTTAGATTGCTTTGTATCTTTTACAAAAGTAAACAGACACAAATTTTGAAAGAGAAGAAAGAAGTAACTGTAATATGAAGAGAAATGGCAGAGACAGGTAAAAATTAAAATAAAGCTGGCAAAATAAAGGGAAAAAACGGTAGAAGGAAGTGGAAAATATAGCAGTAAAACAAATGATGTATTTATTAGAAGTGATAAAATAGAACATTGTGAAAATCTTATCAGAAAAACTCCCCCACCAGGCAGAGAAGAATAAGGGAGAAGACAGACAAAAAGGAATATGATGAATATGGAAGACTGACAAAAATACAACATAAGAAAAATGAGTTTCCTGGAAAAAGAGTAACACATAAAACAGGGCCAATAAATAAAAGATATAACAGAAGAAAATTTTGTTAGATCAAAGAAGTTAAGTCTGCAAAACAAATCCATTTTGCTTGGTTGTTTAACCAAGCAAAAATAATTAAAGGAAACTAACATCTAGACTTATTAGATGGTTGCATTTGAGGATAAATAATTGTATAAACTTCCAAGCAGGATAGGGGATGTGGATGAGAAAGGTTGAAGAAATGGAAGGAAATGTGTAACTCTCAATAGCCTCTGCAAGACCATAACCTGATAGTAGGTTATGTATAATAATGAATTAGATTTACATTAGCATATGGGATAGGAAGTTAAAGACATGAAATGGGCAGACATGCCTGCATAGGTCACTATAAAAATTTTGAGACAGACTGTGTTATGGTTCATTATTTAACTTCCAAGAAATACAATCAACAACGTCTTTTCTGATTCATCCATGCAAGTTCCTACTTGCTTAGCTTATCAGTGTTGCTAGGACTTGTTTCTGTCCATGTAGTTGTTTTTTGTTTTTTTTGGCCAAGGCTGGGTTTGAACCCACCTCCTCTGGTATATGGGGCCAGCGCCCTACTCCTTTGAGCCACAGGCACCGCCCCCGTCCATGTAGATTTTATGTTTCTTGATTTTTGTGTATCTCAAAACTTTTGTAATGACCCATGTATAAGAAGACACTGCTCTTCTCCTTTCACATAAGCTTTTCTTCTGGACAGAGAAAACCTCAGCATTCTATGGTAATCCATAATAATTTATATGATATGGCCTGGTTCTACAGTGTTCTCTGAGATAGTTTCAAGGATATCTGTTGACACAAATAATTAAAAATAGAAAAATGCCAAAAAGTAGGATGTAAGGCCACATAAGTTCATTTACTCTAGACTGTAAAAGACTAATAAAGTATTTTATCTAGGTGAACTTCATGAGGTTTGAAAGCTTACTCCTTTAAGTGCCAAAACTTTTTAAAATGTTAGTCATTGTGATGGAAATCTTTCTTAAATATATACTCCCCTAACTTTCCAAACAATGTCTTCTAAACATAGTTTCATACTATATTTTCTTGATGATCTAAGAGTATCATTTTGAATATCAGTTTTTTTTATAACACATTAATGTCCTCAGGATTTTTGAGGTGTTTTTATCTCTATTAAATTTATCTCAGCTTCTATTTCATATTTTAACCTTGCTTCTATCATGGTGTTCGAATTCAGTGTCTACAGAACTGAAGGCTGCCAGGAGAAACTAGATAATGAAATCTATTAAATCTGTAACTTAATTTTACACAATCCTAATTCAGTAGGTTCAAGGTAAAAAGCAATAAGTTCAGAACAAAACTCATGAGGCTAATGACAGCGATTTCCTTCTCTGTTTCCAAAGTTCTCAGCTGTGTTCTGGGTTTTTAAGCTGCCAAAAAGACAACTCATGTTTACTAAGCTTCTTTTATGTACCAGGAACTTAATACCATATATATTATATATGCCTTGTAATAATTCTAAGCAATAGAAAATATCCCCAGCACTGATAGAAAAAATCCTTAAACAACTTGCTCATGATCAAACAGCAAGTGGTAAAAGCCAAAGACTCTAGTATAAATCTGACTAGAACGCCTTGCTTTTTTGAATGATTTCATGCTAGAAAGGTGTTTTTCAGAGTACATTTTAAGAATCACCTGTATTAGAATCAGGCTGAATGCCTAACACAGAAATGGCTACTACCACTTCGTGCTTGCTATGTAGAACTTTCTGGGAGTGGGTCTGGGGGGAAATCACATTTTTAGCAAGCACCCCAGGTGATTCTGACACATAGTAACTAACACTTGAAAAGCCATTGTCCTAGATCTGTGGTTCCCAATCCCTGGGCTGAGGTCAATGGCCTATTAGGAACTGGGCTGCACAGCAGAGGGTGAACTGCGGTGGGCAAGCACCCTTCATCTGTATCTACAGTCTCTCCCCATCACTTGCATCACCGCCTGAGCTCCGCCTCCTGTCAGGTCAGAGGCAGCATTAGATTCTCATAGGAGCAGGTGCCCTGCTGTAAACTGCACATGCAGGGCATCTAGGTTACACATTCACTATGACAATCTAATGCCTAATGGTCTGGAGTAGAGCTGAGGGCATAAGCAACACACTTCAGGTGCCACTGTTTCCCATCGTCCCTAAGATGGTATCGTCTAGTTGAAGGAAAGTAAGCTCAGGCCTCTCACTGATTCTGCATTATGGCGAGTTGTATAATTATTTCATTATAGATTACAATGTAATAATAATAGAAATAAAGTGCACAATAAATGCGATGTGTTTGAATCATCCCGAAACCTTCCCCCACTTGCCCCCCACCCCTGTCTTTGGAAAAATTATCTTCCATGAAAGGGTTCCCTGCTGCCAGAAAGGTTGGGGAATGTTGTTGTAGATACAGTGTGAAATTTATGAAGTCACAGTAGAGAAGAAAACTCCTACAACTCGGGTCAAACTTTCTCAGCGTCTTTATGGGCTCCTTTACCTTTGCCTATCTCTTAAAGAGGCA